AAGTTGATGAGCGAGGGAGACGGGGACGAGAGGAGCAGCTAGCGATAGCAATAGCAATAGCATACGCGGTCAATTAGCTGTGCTCCAACCAATCAGCTAGCGTTTCGCCTCCCGCATCCCAACGAGAATTAATACACGAGCAACGGCGTAGCCGCGACGCAGCGGACGTCATGCCCGACCGCGACCGGTCGCAATCGCAATCGCAATCGCAATCGCGTCGGACGGAGGAGTCCACCACTAGCGCTAGGAGAGGAGCAATTATTTGCCGATCGCGTCCACTCCACCGGCACCAGGACCGAGCCGAGCAGGCCAGGCCCACCACGCGCGGCGCCGAGCGGTTTGCCGTGCGTGCGTGCGGTTCGGCCCGCTCCGTCCGTCGGGCGTCTGCCGGCCCGCGGTATAAATACGGGCTCAAAGCAAGCGGTTGTTTCGTCGCGCTCCTCTCTCCCTCCTCTTCGCGTTCGCGGCCCGGCCAGAGAGAGAGAGAGAGACCTCGGCGGCGGCGACACGATCGCAGTGGTCAGTGGCCGGCCGCAGATTCTCTCGTCGCTCCCCCGTCCTCCAGCACCAGCAGCGCCGCCCTCGCCCTCGGCCGGCTCCAGTCCAGGTACGGCCAGCCTCCTCCTCCTCCTCCCTCTCCCTCTCCCTCTCCCTCTCCCTCTCCTCCCTCTTCCTTCCCCTGCCCGGATTCCCCGATCCGTCCACGAGCTTTGGTTAGAACCAGAGTCCTGGTGCTAGAGAACGAATCTCGTCTCGTCCCACCCACCCCATTGTTTGTATTTTCTCCCCTGTTTTGTCATAATCGCTTCGTCTCTGTTTTAGTCACGCTGTTCGTTTCAGATTTTCCGTCCCCTTGTTTTCGACTGTTCTGAGAAAAGAAATACGGAGTACTACCTAGTATCTGGCGCCATACATATGGCACCATGGCAGCATATTCCGGCTGGTGTCGAGAGCTGAGACAGTGAACGGGTCTGCTGCTCTGGTATTCTTGTGGTCTCTTTCTCTTGGATATTCAAAGATCCCCGGCCGTCGTGCAACACCTTCGCTTTCCTTCTTCCTGGCACGTGCGGTGAGTGAGTAGCAGCTTACGCTCGCGCGCATGCAAGGAGAGGAGGGGTAGGCAGGTTCGATGAACCTGGCTGCTTTGCTTTGCCGTGCCAACCATAAAACTGCGCACTTCTCCAATTCAGGTTGTACCCGTATTAATCACCCTGCTAGTACTTCGTTTATAGCAACACCAATGCTAGCTAGCACACACATACTTCTGTCTTTGGATTTGGATGGGCGGCCACTCAATCCATGGCCCCTGCTGTCAGCCTGTCACACGTCTAGCAGCCTAGCACCACCCTCTTTTGCTCGCGGACTCCTTTCTCCTGGTCGTCGCCTAGCGCTTGCAGCGCATTCACTACTACTCGTCGAACGTTAATTAAACAGGCCAGGTGTTCGTTCATAACAATAATGATGCTGCCATCATCAGGCAGGTCACTGGATACTGATCCCGTCATGTTACATATTCAAGTAGTACTACTCTCGATTCCATCGTGTCATTGCTAGGAGACAGCGCTGTATCCAGTGAGGCAGGGACGTGGATCGCCCTAGCAATGACATCGTGTCATCTCATCTCTAGTGGTGTTCTGTTACGGGTAAAATATTCACCTCATGTTGCTTGCTCGCCTGGTAACATTGCTGTTGCTGCTGATGCATGCATGCATATATATAAATGGACCGGGTTCTTGTGATGTGTGTATATAATATCAATAATTGGACACGTAACCTGGGCAGCGAAGACCTTTTTAGTCAATCAGTTGCACAAGCTAAAGCAACGAAGAAAGTAGAGGACTATCCGCCACAAACGGCATCATTCATATATCATGAATTGGCTGAAAGATTCCCTTCACCATCAACGACGGCCGTTTCGCTCAAATTTAGCTCATGCTTATTTGTTGGGAGAGAAAAATATTGTTTTTTCATGGGCCTTATATACTCCCTTCGTTCATAAATCAATTTTTAAAATTGTTCTTAAACTAGAGTTTTAAAGTTTAACTAAATTTACAGAAAACAGCGCCAAGATCTATAACAGCAAATTCGTATAGTTAGATAAACCATAAACCATAAATCTCGATGTATGCGATTTTATGTCTTGAAAAAGGGAACGGAGAGGGTATTAAGAAGAGAAGTGTTATTCAGTTTTCTTGGAATGCCCAGCCCTTGGACCGGTAGCCAGTAGTAGTAGGTCAGTTTTAGTACTCCTTGGGAATCCCAAACATTTCCGTCCTCAGCCCGTCATGTGAGACGCCACCCGAGATGTTGATCCGGATCCGGCGTGGCGTCAGGTCGTTTGGCTGTTTTGTTTTACAACGAGAAGACTTCTCCAAGGGAATACTCCTAGGTCTTGTTTAGGTCGTAAGTTTTTTCACTCTCTCTCTCTATCACATTAAATCTTTGACACGTCGTAAAGTATTAAATATAGATAAAAAATAACTAATTATACAGTTTTATTGTAAATTACGAGACGATCTCTTTTAAGCTGGTTAGATATAATTAAATAATAATTGTCACAAATACAAACGAATCCATTCCAGCGGTCACATCACAAGGCCCTAGTATCTCGTATTTCCATTCCAGCGGGTCACATCACAGTCCAACGAGTCCATCGTTTTCTCAAGGCACGCAGAATCTGTCCACGTCCCCATCTGAACGCGCCAACACTGCGTTGCTTGTCGGCTTGGGCGGGCGTCCTTGTCGCGCGTGACCCTTCTCTGCGTCCATCCGTGGGTTTGCAGCAGTAGTTGACCAGTTTCTGTATAAGAAATCCAATTCTGCTACCCGACGTCTCCGCGTATGAGTTACTCCCTCCGTCATAAAAAAAAACACAATTCTAGTTTTGAATATGGACACGAACTTAAACACGACGTGTGTCTAGGTTCAAAAATAGAATTACGTTTTTTTTTACGGATAGAGTACGGATCATATTATCAAGTCAGACAGCACTCGTTTCCGTGCATTTGGAAAAAAAAGGGGGGGTGGGTCTCAATCTGAACAACGATACAGTAGAGCACATGCGTGTAGTTGTAGGAGTATCTCTGTTAGTGAGGAATTCAGCGGAGCCCATGTCAAACACTGGAAAATGACAAGATAAGGATGCGTCACAGAATCACAGTAGGCTGGCTCCATTATTTCAACCTCAGCTAGTATAGCACTGAAGCTGGCATATTGTCCGTTGAAAACAAAGGGGGTTGCTAAATCACAGGCGTCTAATTTCAAGCATATGGTCTTTAGGTGTGAAAGAAAAAAAAACTGGCATATTTCACCCTCAAAATAGTATAGATGGCTCCACTCGCATATTCCAACCTCAGTCAAATAGTGTTGCACGACAGGCTTGACTGAAACCCTCCTTTCCCTCTCTTGAGAACACACAGCTGTTCAAATGGAGGAAGCAGCACTGCGACTGCCACGCCTCGTTTCGATGATTCCGAAGGCCCCACGCGCCAGACGACCCCACCTGTGTGCTAGTCTCCCGGTCCACAGCCACAGCCAGTCAGAAGAGTCGATGCACGTGGTCGCTGATCTCTGTCAGCCGGCTGTCACCAAGCCTGCCACACCACACCAGTCGCCATAGCCGCAAGAAGATCCCTCAATGGTCGCCACAGCCACAGGACACCAATCGGGTCAAGGCGTCCAATCCTGCGCCACAGCCACAGGACACCAGTCAGAGACCATCATTGCTCCCCAAGCTTTGCCCAGAGACCATCGTTGCTCCCCGTCTTTAGTTTAAATTTTTTAGTTCTCTCCCATTTTGTAAAATTTTTCAAGATTTCGTCGAATTTTTATTGATAAGTAGTGTTTAATTATGGATTAATTATGTTTGAAAGTTCCGTCTCGTGATTTCTCACCCAATTATACAATTAGTTTTTTTTTATCTACATTTACTACTCTATGCATGTGCCGTAAAATTTGATATGACACTTACTACGCAAAAATTTTTAGTTTTTGAGGTGAACTAAACGGGGCTTAGTGGGACTGGGAGGTGGGAAAGCGGCAAGCAGCCATCAAAAGAGGCCCCAAAGTTCTTGGTGGCCTAGCTGGATTGGATATTTGGATGGGTGTTCTTCTTGCCCGCCTACTTCTACTTCGTCTTCTTGTTGGCTGCGCACGGCACCAGCATCTCCCCACGACACAAGCCGTGCGCTTCTTGGACTAGGGGACTAGCCCTTCGAGCAGGTGCGTACGAGCGGCCTCCTTGCCTTCCTGATTCCGTCCTGGCATGGCATCTGCATCAGCAGTGCAGATGCCAGATGGTGGTGGAGATTTGGAGAATCCCAGTGATTCTGAATCTTTTTCCGTTCTCTGCTTCGTCAGTTCGGGTTTTAAGCTTTGACTGACGCCCAATTGCTCTCGGCGTGGGTTGGGTTCGCCGTAATTTCTTGCCTGTAGTTCACTTTGGGCACTGATGATTGCTGATGTCTAGTGTCTGAAACGGGCTGAGTTAGATTCGTTTCAGGTAGATTTTCTTATAGATTCTGCCTTCTGGCTGATGCTTGCGGCCTGTGCTCAACGATTGCCACGGACCTGTATAGTGCTCATGAATCATAGCTCGGTGACCAATTCCTCTGCTAGGCAGGTTTATCTCAAATTCGGAGCTTCCCCATTGTTATGCGAAGAAATCAAAGTGGTTGATAGTGAATTTGAGCAAGATTCCGCTTTTCGCCTCCACCGAAGTGTGCAGTAAAGGCGATGTTTCTTTTCTTTAAGAAATTTGGTCACGTTCTGTTGCTGCAGTTCTTCATGTTCACGCCTAATCTGCTAATCATAGGGTTCGTCTTTTAATAATAATAAAAAAAGAACTGCTAATCATAGAGGACACTGTGATTGTTTCTGATTGTCCATGATTCCTTTTACACATTGTTCAGTCTAATCATGCAAGAAGAATCGTTGCATATTTGCAGGACACAGGAGGCCACTCTGACTCTGAGCTGCGCGTCACCTGAGTGACGGACGCCATGGGAGAGGTCGCGGACATGTACACCCAAGACGGGACGGTGGACAGGAAGGGGAACCCCGCCGTGAAGAAGGACACCGGCAACTGGCGGGCCTGCCCCTACATCCTCGGTCAGTGCTCAGTACACTCTTGTGTCTGTTTCTTTCTAGGAGTCGTCGTTTGTCCATTGCCGCTCTGCTTTGTGCTTGCTCTGTTTGTTTGTTGTCCACTCCACTGATGGCATGGCAACTAATACATACATGGTTCAGCGAACGAGTGCTGCGAGAGGCTGGCCTACTATGGCATGAGCACCAACCTGGTGCACTACATGAAGACCCGGCTTGGCCAGGTGAACAGCGTCGCCTCCAACAACGTCACCAACTGGAGTGGGACGTGCTACATCACGCCGCTCATCGGCGCCTTCTTTGCCGACGCCTACCTGGGGAGGTTCTGGACCATCGCCAGCTTCATGATCATCTACATTTTCGTAAGATCGTTGCTCGAATCAATCCGTGGTTTGGTTTCTTTCCCATTGCCATGATCTGACGAAGAGATGGCCACCGTCACTGTGGTCGGTCGATTTGACAGGGCCTGGCGCTGCTGACGATGGCGTCGTCGGTGAAGGGGCTGGTGCCTACAGGGTGCGGCGACGATGACGTGTGCCACCCGACGGACGCGCAGGCGGCAGTGGTGTTCGTGGCGCTGTACCTCATCGCGCTGGGCACGGGCGGGATCAAGCCCTGCGTGTCCTCCTTCGGCGCCGACCAGTTCGACGAGAACGACGAGCGGGAGAAGAAGAGCAAGAGCTCCTTCTTCAACTGGTTCTACTTCTCCATCAACATCGGCGCGCTGGTGGCGTCCACGGTGCTGGTGTACGTGCAGACGCACGTGGGCTGGGGCTGGGGCTTCGGCATCCCCGCCGTGGTCATGGCCATCGCCGTCGTCAGCTTCTTCGTGGGCACGCCGCTGTACAGGCACCAGAAGCCCGGGGGCAGCCCGCTCACGCGCATCGCGCAGGTGCTCGTCGCGAGCGCGCGCAAGTGGAACGTGGCCGTGCCCGCCGACAAGTCGCGGCTGCACGAGACGCTGGACAAGGAGTCCGGCATCGAGGGCAGCCGCAAGCTGGAGCACACGGACCAGCTCGCGTGCCTCGACAGGGCGGCCGTCGTGACGGCCGAGGACAGCGCCGCGGCGGGGTCGGCGACGGCGAGCCCATGGCGCCTGTGCACGGTGACGCAGGTGGAGGAGCTCAAGAGCGTGATCCGGCTGCTCCCCATCTGGGCGAGCGGGATCGTGTTCGCGGCGGTGTACTCGCAGATGAGCACCATGTTCATTCTGCAGGGCGACACGCTGGACCAGCGCATGGGGTCCAAGTTCAAGATCCCCTCGGCGACGATGTCCATGGTGGACACCATCAGCGTCATCGTCTGGGTCCCCGTCTACGACCGCGTCATCGTGCCCATCGTGCGCTCCTACACCGGCCGGCCCCGCGGGTTCACTCAGCTGCAGCGGATGGGCATCGGCCTCGTCGTCTCCATCTTCTCCATGGTGGCGGCGGGCGTGCTGGACATAGTGCGGCTGCGCGCCGTCGCGCGGCACGGCCTGTATGACAAGGACGACCACGTCCCCATCTCAATCTTCTGGCAGATACCGCAGTACTTCATCATCGGGTGCTCGGAGGTGTTCACCTTCGTGGGGCAGCTGGAGTTCTTCTACGACCAGGCGCCCGACGCCATGAGGAGCATGTGCTCGGCGCTGTCACTCACCACACTCGCGCTTGGCAACTACCTCAGCACGGTGCTGGTGACCATCGTGGCACACATCACCACCAGGAACGGCAACATCGGGTGGATCCCGGACAACATCAACCGCGGCCACCTCGACTACTTCTTCTGGCTGCTCGCCGTGCTCAGCCTCCTCAACTTCCTCGTCTACCTCGTCATCGCCAGCTGGTACAAGTACAAGAAGACGGCCGATGATAACCCGGACGCCAAAGGGGAGCACTGATGGGCAGGCCAGTTGAGCACTGCAGGGCTACACTACAGCATTAGGCCGACTCAATGAACCGAGATGGCGAAAATGAAGTGATTTCTCTCTGTGGTTAGCTGTCGGTTTGTTTTGCCACAGTTTGTCTGCTTAAAGTCTTAAACGTACTAGTTCACTGTAGATGTCTGGGGCGAATTTACTGGTTAGATGTCATGTGTTAGTTTTATATGCGCAATGCTCGATCCCAATGATCATTATCTATATCTATGAAATAAGTTGAGCTCTTACTAAAACCGCGTATTATTGAATCCAAAAGAGCAACGAAACCAAGCCGCCTTTGATCAGTTAACTAATTATGGTTAAATGCTATTTAGTTTATTTCTTCCCTCACTCAAATTACGAAATTTCATTCTAGTTTGTTTGATCAAGTTTTTAGGTCGACCTAATGATCCAAAGTAACTAGAATTTGCATCCCTAACGAGTAGTTCTTCAATTCCTGTTAAAAAAGAGTAGTTCTCCATTTGGCCCTATTCCTACCGGCGGTGAATTTCCTACTAATTGATTTTGACGAAGTAATTATATGAAAACAATGATGCCGAGTCCTGAATTACAAATTGTAGTATCATAATATGTATGAATTGCTAGTCCATTGATCTACGACGATGCCGAGTGTGAGGCTCCACGTACGGCTCGATTATATGCTTCTCATGTGGATCAATCAATAGTTACAAGGCCCATGTTAAATTTTTTAGCTTGGACAAAAAGTCCATTTCATCTTCCTTAACTATAATATAAGTTCGATTTACTTCCCTCGATCGTGCCCTGGCATTCAGGGAGGAGAAATACATGGGGGTGGGAGAGTAGAGCAGATTACAGGGGCATTAAGGGGGTGTTTAGATGATTTTGGAATGGTAAAACTTTTGATCCTAATCTTTTGTTGCAAATCTTTTGGCATTCAAACTTTACATCTTGGTATTTAGATGCATGGCAAAACTTTAGCACTGTACCAAACAAAGACTGATTTGTCCTCATTTAATACATGATTTGGTTCATTAATTGTCACTCATGCAAAGCCATGCATGCTGCATGCTGGGCTGCTGCTGTTCGCCCTTGCTGCTGCTGCTCGCAACCGCTTGTTGCTAGCACTTGCTGCTGCTCGCCATTGCTGCTGGTAGCACTTGCCGCATGTCCGGCAGTGTTTTTAAACAATCAAATATTACACTTTATTGCACAATTATTGAATAGTTCAACAACTCAATTGTCCTCAACTATACAAATCACTCATACACGTTACATTTGAAGTGCACCATTCCAAATGTCATGATCGGTGTAACAAACCAAGGGCAATCGAGCCACGGAAAGCATTCATCATTGCATATTCATCCCTTGCCGGCGTTTGACGAGTACATGGCTGAGAGGTCGATGCTTCAGATGGAACATAGTTCTCATCACGATCACAACGATCAAAGTCCCTATCCACTATTCCATTCGTTCTAATGAAGTTATGGAGTGCCATGCATGCAACGATAATTTGGCTTTGCTTATGAGGTGGATAACTTGGCATTTGCAACAACATCCTTCACTTCATCTTCAAAACTCCAAACGACCTCTCGATAACATTTCTAAGAGATGAATGTGCGTAGTTGAAGATCTCTTTTTTATCTTGTGGCTCCGGGCCATCTCGATACTCCAGAAGATGGTAGTTGGTTCCCTTGTAGGGCATAAGGTAACCTGGACGGTTTGGGTAGCCGGAGTCCACTAGATAAAATTTTCCCTACACAATGGAATAGTTTTGTAAGTTTCACCTAGTTCAAGTAGAAGCTACAAATGGAACAACATAAAGGAGTTTACCTGTAGGTGGATGTGGAAAGATGTGCCTATACTTGGTCATAGCATCGATGAACACTCTCATGTCATGTATGTAACTAGGCCATCCAAAGAAGAACAAATGTGAACCTCATGTCAAAGTCACAAACAACCAGACATTTTGTGTTGTCATGCCCTTATGGCACATGTGTTTGAACTGACTTATTACTTGGCACCACACATGGTATGTGAGTGCCATCTATTGCTCCTATACAATTGTTGAAGAAGAGATGGAACCTAGGGTTTCTCAATCTAGGATGAATTATTTTGAATTCTAGGTCCACTAGGTTTAATGATGTCTGCAGCTAGCTTAACCACACGCTGCAAAACTTTCTCAAAGTTGTTGTGAACTGTGTCTAGTGATCTCTCAAATCTATCCTCACTTGCCTAACTGACCGTGGTGCTCCAAGCATCCAAAGGAACATTCCTAAAGCCTCAACAGAGGTACTCTTGGTACTAGATTTCAGGCCATATGACTCAACCAATGAGATCATGAAGTCGATGGAATACGCTTGGGCTCATTCTAAATATGTTGTAGCAGATTATTTCTATCTCCTAGCTTTCTCTCTACCCATTATAATCCAGCTTAGCAATGGTTGCCTCCTCTCAGCCCTACTATAGTATTTGTCATGGTGAATAGCAAACAGTACATACCGCTCATAAAATCATTGTCATCATCCTCAAGAAGCATTCTCAGAGATATCCTCATCACTTGATTCATCGAAATTGTCCCGTCCCTCATTTGCATGAGCATCCCCGACACATAAATGCATGACAATCTCAATTATATATGCCAAGAAAAATTTGATCATGCATCACAAGCTCACATCACAATCACAAATGAAATTCATCACACAGTTCAATAGACATAGTGCAAACTCTCATGACACGTTGCAAATGACAAACAGAGTTCAAATGACATAGTGCCAATACAACAGACTTAGTTCAAATGACACCTTTACTACAATGACAGACATAGTTCACATGACATGAATTGTTCAAATGACAGACATAGTTAAGATAAGAGGATCTAGTTGTTGACCCTGGCAAAGTACTCGATGAAGCCCAGCCTTCCTGTTGGTGTAGATGTTCCAATGAAGAACTCCATGCTATCGTCATGTTTGGTGATCTTGTGCACAGCATACCACAACTGCTTGTTTCCTTCGTCTACACCACACTCTCGAGCCAACTGCTGCACATACCTAATCTTTTTCTGCTCTGGCAACCTCCTTTTGCTAGGCAATCTGCTGCTTGTTTTCCAAATGTTTCTTGAACATCAGATTCCTCTCATCTTGAATCCTGGCATTCTCGCTCATGAACTTGTCCATGCTCCTAACTGCTGGGCTCTTAGATTTCTTGCTGGGACTAGAGCTAGTGGTGCTTGTGCTTCTTGCTCTCTTGTGGTTACTAATGCTAACTAGGGTCTGAACATCAAGGTCCTCAGGTGGCTCCTTGTGACAGAACCGCCTAATTTATACAAGATCAAGTACGGAAACACGTTGACACACCCATACTTTCACTCATATAAACCTCGTAGTCCGCCGAAAGTGTCCCGAAAGACCTCAGTAAATCAACATCACAACCAAGATCGCATGATTAAGCAAATACACATCACATACATCGGGTTGCAAAGGAAATAATATTACAAAGAGGTTAACAAATAATAGTACAAGTTTGGGTTTCAAAACCGCTTAGTGAAAAAACAACATAGCTTTCAAATGATTACATTAATATAAGTTCCAAATATATTTCTAGCTTAGTGACATCATCCGCCCTAAGTATAGAATCACCGAGCCCACCGGCTTAGCCACCATCATCAACGTGTCGAGAACATCACCAGCAACAAGGTGGGATAAACCCCAGTACTGAATGTACTCAAATTTTTCACTTACCCGTCGAAAACCAAAACAAATGACACCAAGGATCATGCAAGGCTTTCTTTAGTGGGCTAGCTGACTTGTTTGAGAAAAGCATAAGCTATCATGAAGAAACCATTTTAAGTACTTTGCATCATCTTTATTATGACCTATCCATCTAGGTAAGCACCTATACTATAGCAATCACTTGTTAACCAATAACATCCGAGCTACCAATTTAGATTTAGCATATCCCATACCATCCAGATAACCATCATTGTTCCATAATAATTACTACGATGCAAAGAATCTCTCGAGTCAAGTGCTCACTATCCAGGAGTGATGGCGATTCGAATCGATTCCTAACCAGTTGGTGATTTATTCCTTACACAAACCTCACTCACCCACTAAAGTGAGATATTGATCACCGAGTCAACTATCCAGAATCTCGAGTTTGCCAGAACCACATGTACCCGAGGGCCGACCGACCGCTTTGGTCTTATCATCTCGCCCCTGTCCTACCACAAATTTGCTCAAGACAAAGCAGTTGTGGGCAATCTACTCGGCCTCGAATAATCTCCCACTTCACGGTCAAGGTACTTTATCCGGCCACTAAATGTAAGGCATGCGCTCAACATGACTCGAGGCCCAACAACGAACGGTCTCTAATCAACACAGACGGAAACTAACAAACCTCGAACCCCGTCTGGTTGCCTCCAACTTTTCCGTCTCGGTCTCCAATTATCCATCACACATGGTTAATTCCAGGATATCATTCTTTCCATAGCTAAATTCTTCCAAGAACCACCTATAAATGTAGGTGACCGGACATCACCGATCGCTACTGCGGTCTAAGCAAGGCTATGCTTATTCGATCTCACCTAACAGGTAAAAGGGTAATAAGATAGGCAAGAATAGTAATAAATGCATCAACGGTTTCGATCAACTCCTACAACTTAATGCAACAATATATAACTCTATATATAGAAAGAATTGCTTTTATAAATTAGGAGACTTATAATGCTCCGGGCTTGCCTCGATCCGGCCACAAGTCAGGCTTCAGCTTAGCTTGCACCGTCATGGTGACATCTCCGGTCCTAGCACTTGCTTAGTCCTTCCATCTTCGGATAGATCCTCCATACATCGCCTTCGGTTCGGCTTCAACATCATGTTCTTTCACGTGGTTCATCTAGCGCACCTAGATGAGATGCAAGATGCATGTGTATGAATGTGATGAATTATAACACAAGATGCATCACATAAACATTCAAGACAAACACAAGATTATGCAAGACATAG